GCAAGAAAAAGCATTAGAAATCTAACACTGGGAGCTGGATACGTTCCTGTATTATAGGTCTGTTTTCAGCGTTTAATTTTAACCCCTAAATCATAACACGCTTTTGGCTTGTTTGAAGCACACAGTTAAGAATAGGACCACGGAAAGTAACCCAGTGATCAATTTTTGGCGCTATTTTATTCTATTATGGCCTACCGTATATAATCTTGCTCATTTCCAAACCACTCCGTGCACTTCTAGTGTCAAATTAAATGCCTCGCGGGCCAAGCATACGGGTCGCCGATTAAGAACCAGGGATATAGGCACCCCATGACAGGCTATAAAATATGGGAATACAACAGTTTTTGTCAAAGAAAATTCGATTGTGTGGACAGAGCTGATAAATACAAATATATTAAATCAAGCGAAAAAGTAACTTATCAGTAATTGCTCGGGGTATACGAATTGAAAGCAAGCAGATCTAAGAGGGGGTAGCCCGGGGATGGAAATTCCAGATATGCAAGTCCCCAGACTCATATTTCCTAAGGTGTTGTCAAGGAGACCTTTGCATGTTGTTGCCACTGTATGGTAAATACCGTAGTTTACAATTTATCTTATTATTATATAAATTAATAATTACCAATTTTTTGTTAAGTATTAATGAGGCTAGTATAGTGAGCAGGCGACATCATGTTTTAGAATACTGACATAATTTAAATAATGCCTTTTATTTAGATTCATTTTTTTCCAGTTTCTTTTATTAACATTAAAATCGCATTAAAGTCTGATTGATAATATTTTATTTCCCTGTAAAGTAATGAAATAACGAATCATTGCAGTGTACAGAACAAAATACAAAGATAAAACTTGGCGACAAAAAAGTCGTGGTGATGCTAATACCGTATGACTTGAAAAGAAGGCTATTCACGAAACACAATGTGATCAGAACAAAACACAGGAACAACACTTGGCAGCATATAGAGCCTGGTATTTGCAGGACAATCGAATTATATTTTTATAAGCGCTGTTCTTTGGTCCATTAACTGTCTATTATCAGCAAAATAGTATACGCTTACGAATGCTATTGACGATGAAACCCAATAACCGTTTTACCTCTATGATTTATAACAATGAGCTTCTTCTACCATGGGTCATGAATCAGGCATCAGACGCCTGCAGTTCTTTTAATATTTGATAAAGTTTTTACTTCCTCCTGTGATACTATGTTAAATTCAGCATCCAGCTTTATTAAATAATAATTAATACCAACATTGGGAGTTATTTTTATACAGGGACAGGACTCTGAAAGGGGCGGGAGGGGGAAGAATTGTTATGCGAGTTACGTGGTACCGAGCAGGGGTGAGGTTGTTCCCCTTTCTAAGGTTGGGGGACGCCAGGGACCTGTAGGGTACAGAGGGGAATTTTTTCCATTAAAAAAATGTAAAAGATGCAGGTGAATGGGAGGCTTGAATCTGTCACTGCTCAAAACATTCTTTACCCAGTCATTATCACGAAAAATGAGCATGAAAAACCAGATCACGTCATGAAAACAAAATTATGCATTGACTAAATGGGCAGAAATAAAACTTTTAGTAAAATTTGTCGTCATCTGCATAAAATTAAAGCGCCTCATGATCGTTTATTAGGGATTTTCGGCAACCATAGGGGCTGAGGTTATAAAATTTGAGAAAATAGTGCCTGCCTCTAGATGGCCGGAAATGACGCTTTTATATAGAAAAATCCATCATCACATCACCATTATATAATATAGTCAAAATGAAGCTCCAACAAATTATAATATTATTATTATTATCTATTAGGGGTCATCCATTATTTTCATCATTTTCACAAGAGTACAAAACATACTCTTTTTGCCAACCCCCTACCCCTCTGTGAAAGTGTACATGATAAAATGATGATTTTCTTCCAGTGTTTTATAGCGATACAGGTATATATATATATATATATATATATATATATAGCATATACATATAATTTATATATATATATACATACATACATATACATATATATATACTGTTATAGATACATATACATAGCATATACATATAATTTATATATATATATATAGCATATACATATAATTTATATATATATATATACATACATATATATACATATATACTGTATATAGATATACATATACATATATAAATATATACATATATATATAGGGGGAAGAACCGTTATGGGAGTTACGTGCTACCGAGCAGGGGTGAGGTTGTTTCCCTTCCTACGGTTGGGGGAAGCCAGGGACCTGTGGGGTACAGGGGGGGGGGGATTTTTCCATTAAAAAAAATATAAAAGATACAGGTGAATGGGAGGCTTGAATCTGCCACTGCTCAAAACATTCTTTATCCAAAACAGTCATTATCACGAAAAATGAGCATGAA